CGCATGTATATATATATATATGCGCATGTATATATATTGCATGCATTTTGTCTGAAAGCAATGAAAAATGATTCACAGTTTGGTCCACATAGACTTCTGTATCGCTGAATGTGTGAAGTTTTGAAAATGTGGCATGTAATAAATGGACTATATAATTATATATGTAATTAAATAAACTTTAATTAAATTTCAAAATAATTATTTTGCCATCACCAAACTGCCCATATTTAATTTTAAACATGTTTAACATATTGGGACCATTTAACCAATTAACTAACTAACTAAATAAAGTAAAAAAATAAATAAAGATTTAGCCTGCTATAAATGCATCAAACATATGCACAAAATTCTGAAATCAAAAGTGTGTGTTTGTGCAAATTCACTCTCAAAACTGTGGCAAAAGAAGGTCTGTTGACCTAATTTTTAGATACATTTTGACAAAATATTTGGAGTCACTTCCTCTTGTTTGCAGACCTCTTTGTATTCAAGTGTTCTGTTAAGAAAGACATAACTTGTGGTTAGAGTAACTAACATCCATGGTGCATTACACACTTTTAATGCTAGAACTGCCATGCAAAATTTACCCTTGGCTGTTTTTCAAATAAACATAACAGCTTTTCAATAAAATATCCAAGTCTTCCAGGCATCGACTTTTACTAAAATTGTGTTATTTACAATCCCGTTGTTAAAAAGTGTTTAGTTAAAACACCACCAGTGGTCGCTGTATACCTAAAACCGCCAGCCGGTAAAATTTGGCTTACATGGCAAAAAAAAAAAAAAAACATTATGTCACTGGATTATTTGTTTAGTTATTCATTTGTTTAGTTATATCATTTATAATTAGAATAAGAGAACAACACCATTAATAATCATAAATTTTTTCAGGAAAGGGTATGAACCAATTTTGATGGTTTATTGTTCGCTGCTGTGTTGCTATTTATTCTAGTCTGACACTTTTTGGTAAACGGTGTATTAAAAACAAATAAATCTACAATGTATGCTTTAAACAAATTCTCAAAGTCTCTTGTATCTCCCACTATGTTTTTTTTGAAAGAATATTGGTTGTTGTTTTAAACATACAGAGATTTAAAAATGTTAAGCACCCTTTTTATTTTACTGGCTTTTTCAGGTCAATTGGGACACTGCCTCTGGCAAAGTGGGACACACATTTTTATCTAGTCTGTGCTTACAAAATACAATTTCCTACAGCAGGACATTCATCTTTTGCAATAGAAAATCTTCTGCATTACAATAGTGGATTGTGTTTTTGATTGTGAACTCATAAACACTTAATGTTTATTGCACATCAACAGAATCATAAATTTGAAGAATTAGCCCATTAAAGCAGTCCAACAGAAATACAGATTTAAACAATTAAAACACTCCAACAGAAGGACAAAAACAAACAATGGAATCACTTCAACAGAAGTAAAATGCACTGTGTAGAATAAAAATGCCATGATTTAATCTATGATATGCCTGCTTGTGTGTGTGAGTGTGTGTAATGTGTTTGCATCTAACTGTGTGCGTGTAACACATGCTTTCATATTTGAGTGTAAATGCTGTATGTGTTTAAGTGTGGGTGACAGCAGGCATGTATTTGTTTACAGGCACTTTTTATGCACTAAAACTTAATATTCCCAAATGTCTATTCTTATTTTTTTCTTTCCCTGTCCTCTGCCTATATTGTGACATTTTCTGTAAAACAAAACAATTTATCACATTAAGCAATGTATTTATCTTTTAATTTATAGGATGCCCTACTTTAGCTAAATGCTATTGTCCCAATTTATATAACATGTTCAGGTAAATTGGAACAGTGACTAAACTTAATATTTTTTTAAACTAGAGTGAAGAAACTTGCACATCATTGCATAAAATTGGATGATCACATGAACAGATGTAATACAAATTTATATTGTAGTTTGAATTACTGTTTGTATTAGAAAATAAACCTTAACAATTTTAATAGACTTCCAGCATTTGAGTGGTAACCACACCCATAGGATTTACATTTGACTAATCAAATGTTGATATTCAAATTAAGTACTCTTGTTACAACATTTCAAGACCACCCATTATTATCAGTATTTTTAAAAAAAAAGGAGCACTACACCAAAAGCTTATTTGTCCCATTTTATCTGATGTCCCACTTTTGCTGCCTTCCTCCTTATCCCTTATACCTTAATTTTCCCCCTTCCCCCCTTAAAAAGTTTTAAAAAAGGAGCACTACACCAAAAGCTTATTTGTCCCATTTTATCTGATGTCCCACTTTTGCTGACTTCCTCCTTATCCCTTATACCTTAATTTTCCCCCTTCCCCCCTTAAAAAGTGATTAGTGTAGCCTGCTTAAAATAGCCTTGAACATAAAACAACAGGACAAAACATAGTTGATGACTAAAAATAATAATTTCATGACTCTAGACATTACTTTGTGAAGACAGTGGCATAATACAGTGACATAATAAGTTTTTTTTTACCATTTTCAAACAGTAATCAGTAGTCAGTTAGTAGTCAGACGTTTTTAGGTATACGACCCCTGGCAGTTCTAGTGCTTTTATGTTTTTGGGTTATCAAAATGCATTCAAAGTCATTCATAATTTGCAAATGAAGTGAAAACAATACTCACATGATGCTTCATCACTTGTCTTTTTTTTTTAAAAACAAAGAAAATTGAGCTTCTCCTCACAGTCTCTGTTCTCCCAATTCCCTGTCTTGGCATTGCAGCATTACTTTGTGAAGACAGTGGCATAATACAGTGACATAATAAGTTTTTTTTTACCATTATCAAAACAGTAATCAGTAGTCAGTTAGTAGTCAGACATTTTTAGGTATACGACCCCTGGCAGTTCTAGTGCTTTTATGTTTTTGGGTTATCAAAATGCATTCAAAGTCATTCATAATTTGCAAATGAAGTGAAAACAATACTCACATGATGCTTCATCACTTGTCTTTTTTTTTTAAAAACAAAGAAAATTGAGCTTCTCCTCACAGTCTCTGTTCTCCCAATTCCCTGTCTTGGCATTGCAGGCTCCACAACGGTACGGCTCAGGTGGGCATGAGGGGAGAGTGATGCTGGTCTCAACATTCTCCTTGCTGACCCAGAACCACATTCCAGCCAGGAAACGCAGGCCTGTCCACACACTGTCTGTCTGGGCATTACTCATATTTGGTAACACCTTAGGATCCACATAGGCCAGATCAGTTTCGCGAGACCGACAGTACTCTAGAGCTTCCTCCCATGTCTTTTTCTCTAGCGCCAGATTCAAGTTCTTATAGCAGAAGAAAGGATACTTACTTGTACACAGCCAAGGAAACCCACAGAATGCAACCCATAGAGCTGGGATTCTGGATTCCTCATACTTCATTAACGTGCACGAGTTTTCAGTTTCCTGAATTAATGAGCTGAACCAACTCTGACTGTAAGCCCCTCCAGCAGCCACGTGTACCATCTGGACATCCTCCTCACCGCTAATTGTAGACAGGTCTGTATGATATGTTTGGCAATATTTTCGAGCTTCTTTGCAGGTCATTGGAGTGGTCACATAAACATGCACTCTGGCTGAACCTGTTGTTTCTCTATAAAGGACAAACAGGAAAAATACAGTAAGAATCATCTCTGCTCTGTTCTGATGTGTGCCAGATTGGAGTTTAAGGATGGTTGAGCACTTTTATTTATCACTCTCACTGGGTGTTGACGTACAAAATGCAAATCCTACAGACTCATCTTTAAGGTGAAATTCATGCCCTGGCATCAGTGTGCAAATTATACAGTCACTTTCAGATGTATTTAATATGGAATTTTCAAAGTGAACCCACTGAAGACAGTCAACGCTGATTTTAAACACAAAGTGTTCAGTGATATATTTGTGATATTTGAATCTATCTATATATAGATTCACATATATATATATATAGTAATAATAACAGTACATATGTTCTGTCAATGGTTCGTCCAATAATGAAAAAAGTACACAAACAACATCATATGTAATCATACTCTGGTTCTTGAAATGTTTGGAAGCCCTATTGAACATAACTAGCAGGGATATCAATTAAATACACCTGAACCAGCTAATTAAGGTATTCACGATTCATTGAATGCAGGTGGGTTAGAAGCAAACTCCAGGAGTTTGGACTTCCTTTCACTTTTGTTTTGACTTCCTTTAAGGTGGTGATGTCAAATCCTGCTCCTGGGTAGGTTAGCACCAGCTGTTCACAAGTATTTACTTAAACTGGGACATAAAGTCCACACTAGAATCTTAATAACTACTACTGTATTTTGAGCTGAAAGTAGTTTATTGTTCTGTTAGTTTAATTTTCAAGGACTTTTAGCTTGTATTTATTAGTTCCTGTTTTCCTTTGTTTGGTTTTCCTGCTTCTAATGTGTTGCTACGGAGATTCAGTAATAATTACAGGTGTTCATCATTAATTACCCTTGTTTTCCTTGATATATAATGCTGTGTTCCAGACAACTCGTCACTGCATCCAATGAGCATGTGTGGAGTTACCTTGTGTAAAACTTAAAAACATTACACATAAAATTGTACCCTTAATTTTACTTTTCGACAGCTGTTTTCAAAACGAATGGCAGAATTTGTTAATTTTTGTTCTGTTTTTGCTATAATTGACACAAAAACACGGAATGCTCTTGTTGTGTCATGGCGACATAGGGTAATAATGTTAACGTGATGTGTATTGACTGGAATTCACTGAGGTTTTAAGTAGAACATTTCAATTCAGATGTTTCCACTTCCGACCTTCAAAAGCGGTATAAGCGAGTGGGCCTATCTGGGCCATCAGTTGCTGAGGACTTAATTGCATTGTTTGAAAAGGAATGTCTTATGAATTCAGTCGAATATTGTGCTACTGTTTTAAATTTTGATGAACTTCTCAATGTGTTTAATTCACTTTGTAACAGTGTCTTAGATACTATTGCTCCTCTGAGACCCAAACAATATAAAGATAAATATGAGCCCTGGTTAAATAGTGATACTCGCCGTCCTAGACAAGTTTGCAGAAGGACAGAACGGCAATGGAAAAAGGACAAACTACAGGTATCTTATGAAATGATGCGAGAGTCCTTAACTGTGTATCAAAATGCTGTAAAACTGCTAGGTCCAAGTATTTCAAATTATTAAGAACTCCGAAAACTTCCTTAATTTGTTTTGTTGATAAAGTAACAGATATCAGGCAGTCCATTGTATCTCCAATTGAAGCATTATCTGTTTCCTTGACTACTACTGAGTTCTTGGACTCCTTTGAGCCAATCACTATGCCCTGTTTAATGGATATAGTCACAAAGTTGAAGGTTACTACTTTCCTCTCTGGATATTGTTCCCACACATTTCTTTAAATATGTCTTTGACTGTTTTACAACATGGATTTTAGAAATTGTAAATAAGAGTTTTCTCACTGGCTCTGTCCCGAGCTTTTGTAAACATGCTTTAGTAAGACCGATCTTGAAAAAGCCCAATTTGGACTTATAATAACTGAATAACTGTTTTAACTAATTTCAGACCTATTTCTAATTGACCTTTTATAGAACAAATTTTAGAGAGATCAGCACTTCTGCAACTACAAACATTTTTGGACACAAAATATTCAGGTGAATAAGGCTAATGTAAGCCATAACCTGGGTGATTTTAACTCCTTCATTAAACCTACTCTTTAAAGACAAGAGGTGATCGTGCATTTGCAATAGTTGGACCGAGGCTATGGAATAGCCTCCCTTCATCTGTGAAAGCTTCAAAGTCTGTCTGTGAGTTTAAAACTAAGTTAAAATCCTATTTTCTTTCTTTGGCGTTTTAACTTTATGTTAAATTTTTGTTCCAGATTTTATTGATGTTTTTATTATTATTATTATAATAAATTTTTTTTTCTTTCTGGCTTTTTATTCTATTTGTACAGCACTATGGTCAACGGCTGTTGTTTATCGGTGCTTAATAAATAAATGAATGAAGTAGTTGCTGTGTTTAAAGGTGCATGTAAAAAGCATTCATGTCCTTGTAGACCTAGTAATTACAGCTTGTAAGATGGGACTTTCTGAGAGCTCCTACTTGTACCATGTGACCGCTGTACAACCTGACCACTGCAGATTCACTTAGGTGTTAATAAAAATGCTTTAGAAATGCATAATTCCCAGTCCGAAGACGTTAACAGCTCCAAATAGAAAGTCATGTGTTGTCATCTCAAGCCTACGGTAATTACAACATGGCATGAACGCAGCATTATTTCTCTTCGTCGGTTCAGTTGATGGTGCAGGGGCCCACCAAGATGGCTCAGGCTGAGCAGATGTCCACCAAGGTGGAGCAGACAGAATGGCAATAGACAGCACAGAGAGGTTAGAAGACCTCTGGAGCGGTCTCATGGGCTTGAGCAGCCTCTGAAGCCAACTCATGGACTGGAGTGGGCTTTAGGGGAACAGTCTCTGTAACAGCCAGTGCCGAGGCCCTTGGGATGCCAGCTACTCTGGCAAAATCTCATTTTGCGGAGAGGCTCTGGACTGGTGGCCATGATGGGACAAGACTCTGGAATGGCAGCCATGATGGAAAGAGGCTCTGGAACGGCAGCTGTGACGTGAAGAGGCTCTGGGACAGCGGTCTCTCCTCAACCACCACCAGTGTGCAGCATCCACTTGGATGATGCGACGGCAGCCACAGGACAACAGCGTCAGTGCGCTCACCACACACCAGCTACAGGTAGAGAGGAGAGAGGGAGTCATAGAGCCAATAAAGTGGATGGGGATTATTAGGAGGCCATGATAGACAAGGGCCAGTGGCAGCAATTTGGCCAGGACACCGGTGTTACACCCCTACTTTTTACGAGAAGTGCCAGAGAGTCAGGACCTCGGTTTAACGTCTCATCTGAAGTACGGTGCTTTTTGACAGTATAGTGTCCCCATCACTATACCGGGGCGTTAGGACCCACACAGACCACAGGGTGAGCACCCCCTGCTGGCCTCTATAATAAATAAAAAAAAACAAAGTATATTACATTAGAACTGGCCATTTATGCACAGACAT